AGAAAATAATTTTCTTTAAAAATTCATTTCTCGGGCTTGGGACCTCAGAATTCGATTCTGGGCATACACCTAAGTCCCATATTTTCCTACGTACCCTCCGGGACCGTTAAATCACAGGTCCGACTCCGTTTACCCAAAACGTTGACCGAAGTCAAATTAATTCATTTTATAGTCAAAATTTATCATTTTTCACAGTTTTCACATTTAGGCTTTCCGGCTACACGCCCGGACTGCGCACATAAATCGAGACAATGCTAAAAGAGATTTTTAAGGCCTCGGAATGCAGAATTCATTTTAAAAACAAGTGATGACCCAAGAGGTCATCACAAGTTTCGTCTTTGTATATTGACTGGTGATTGTTTCTTTTTCAATATACTAACCATAATTGAGGACTTTCATGTAATAGTTTTTTCCCTTATTGAGTTATTTATATATAATCAATATTCGTCATTTTAATCCCTCGTACTTTTATTTTATAGCTCAAACATAATTTTAAATAAAATATTTATATAATATTTTTTAAAACTTTTTACTCATTTAGACAAGGTACATCCGCAACGCGCGTACTATTGACTAGTATTATTATGAAAGTGGGAAGCCCTTACCCTTCTAAATAACTTAAATATATAAAATTATTATTTAATAATAATTTGTATTAATTAAAAAAAAGAAAACGGGAAAGAAGAAAACTATGTGTTGTGCCCTTTCCTAAACGATGTATCCATTCAAAATTTGCACTTCTCCACTAATTAACTTCTTTTAATTTATGTTTCAATCGTTGGAGCCACACCCATTAGAAGGGTCTCAGAAACAGCCGAAGAAGAAAACAAGCCATTTTTCTTATTGCCGCCTATTCTTCAATATATCACATGGGGATTCCACCGATTCGTCTATATGAGGCGACAACCCCTCTTCATTTTATTAGTAGCATTTTTTTGTACTTATGAAACTAATGGATTTTTGGCCACTTTTGCTAAATTGGTTGAAAATTTGAACATATTTTACTTAGTTTTATCATGGGCTTGTTAGTCTAAGAAAACTTACACTAACATGAATATTTTCTTTGGTCAGTACAATAATTTGGTCATATCTATTCAGGCTAGTGGAAGAGGCATCTATATGTCAATCCATCTTTGCAAACAAGCCAAGTGAAAGAAATGAGTAAAAATTGCACGGGGCCTTAATTATTTGGTCGCCCCCATTTAAGCTATACCCATTTTTTTAAATTTTTTTAACTTGTACCCACTTCTTAAATAACTTCAGCCCCCTTTCTCCTCCTTCTTCTCCTCCTTCGTTTTCTTCTTCTCAACAAAAGACAAAATGCAGAACCTATTTTTTTTTTTATTGGTCTTGCGTAGAAAATCTTTTTTGGACCAATCCCAGAAACAATACTTCAGTTAGAAGATGTAGCCTGCCTTTGAAAATTACTCTACGACTTCTTCTTCTTTAGGTATTCACATATCTAAATATTTTTGCTCTTACCGTCTATTCTGATCAACAAATTCTTTCAACTTCTTTTTCTTTTAATATTAAGAAAAATATTAAACGATACTGCATAGATTTTTGAATGAACTTTTTGGCCATATCGCTGTGATTCGTTTGAAAACGCTGGCTAGGTATTCAGCCATTCTCACTTACATTTGCAGGTATTCAGCTGGACCTAAGTGAAATAGGTTCATTGCATTAACTTGGGGTTGTGCAACTGTCATACCTATCTAGAGCTGAAGTTCGCCAGATACAACACAAAAACTTCAGCTCTAGAGCTGAAGTTTCCCGGTTACAACACAAAAACTTCAGCTCTAGAGCTGAAGCTTTTTTACCACCTATTAATATTACATACTAGAGCTGAAGTTTCTAGTTACAACGCAAAAACTTCAGCTTTGTATTGTAACTGGAAACTTCAGATCTAGAGCTGAAGTTTTTTACCACCTATTAATATTACATACTAGAGCTGAAGTTTTTTTACCACCTATTAATATTACATACAGTTGCTCGTCTTGTATTAGCTAGGCAAGTATAAATATTTTTAAATTAATTAAAAACGTGAAAGGCACAAGAAGGGCATCCAGGTCTGAACAAGAATGAAAGAAAGCGTTTGTGCAGAATATTAGACTGCAAGAAATTATCTATGGAAGCCTGCATGCATGCAGCTCAAAACAAATTGCTTCCATTAAGGGTAGTAGTTCAAGTTCTGTTCTTCGAGCAAGCTCGAGCCACCATGTCTGGTGGCCATATAACTGAGCTCCCCACCCACATCGAAGTGCTTCTAGCTAACCATGATGACTTATCAAAGACTTCTGCATCGTTCAAAATGACCAGTGGAGTGCCGCAGGCAAGCTTTCAACACTGAAAATGAAGCTGGCAGAAAATGAAGATTTGGAGGAAAATTATGTTGATGGAAATGGGACATCCTCACGAATAAAAGCTTCCTGCATATTTTGTGTTGTAGCTGGGAAACTTCAGCTCTAGAGCTGAAGTTCGCCAGTTACAAAGCAAAAACTTCAGCTCTAGAGCTGAACTTCAGGCCCGACTACTAGAATGCTGAAGTTTTGCGTGATTGTCTTTGCTACTTCAGCCCCGTGTGCTGAAGTTATGTGAAAAAGCGGGTACGTTTGCAATTTTTTTTACAAAGCGGGCATAAGATGCAAATGCCCCAAGAAATGATTACAAGGTGTCACCTGAACATGAGTAGGCCAAAACTAACTATGCTTGTCATATTTTGTAACTAAAATCACACTCTAATAGGAATCCTAAATGAAGCGAAACTTTCTTTGTGACTATATATAGTACCACACAATATTTAGTAATTGAGTAGGTAGTAGCAGTCATGCAAATAAAATAGTCATTTGCATGGTTTGCATCCTGATCATAACCACATAATATATTTAGCTTACATTAGATATGTAATGGTAAAATTCAATTATTATTTTTTACTTTCAATAAATAATATTTTCGAGAGATTTAACTAACAAAGCAGTACATGAAATGAACCATCGAAATCCAAGATAATACCGCAAAAGAGGAATTGATGCCTACAACGTCATAAAAATACACAAGCAGATGCACCAATATAATTCTTATCATACTCAGGGGCGGCTCAATACTATTTGGCGCCTAAAGCCAAACTTTTATAAGAGACCCTTAACCTTTTCCTAAAAAAAACCTATATATATATATACACACACACACATAATTTTCTAGTTTTTCGAGATGCAAAATTATGAATAATTATTTTATAATCAATTACTTCAAATAATTCTTTTTCAATTGATAATATAGCTAAATCATTCAATCACTCTTACGCCATGGTTGATCTTAAGTAAGATTTTATCAATTTTAATTTTAAAATACTTCTTTCAAATTTCTAGTTTGTGATCGAGGGCAGCCGAAGACAACTATTACAGGAACTGTTATTATTATTCTATAAGAATATAAGCATTTGAAAAAGAATCAAGTATTTTTATATGATTGAGTATATCGATTGGAGTACTATCATCTTTGCCCTTTGGGATTGTATCAAAGATTCAAATTTTTTTCTTATATTTTGAATAAGTGGACTCATACTTTCTATTTGATATATTTAAATTTCAATAAATACTAAAAGGATAATATATGCGTACGTATTGAAAATATCAAGAAAAACAAATGTTAGATGAAAACTAATACTAAAAAGTTGGAATGGAGGAACATGATTCATTAACTTTATGTGAAAATAAATATTTATTGCGTTCAATATACTTCTTATAGCTTTAGCTTGATAGAAGAAAAATGCAGGACAATAGGATCTCCTGGAGACACAAAGAAAAAATATAATAGTAGTAATGTTTGGTGAGAATTGAAAAAGATTAAAAAAGAAAATTGAATATTATGGAAACCAAGAAAGAAAGTAGAAAGGTTTATATAATATTTAACGAGAAAAAGAATAAAAATAAAAAGAATAATTACTTTATTTCTTCCATAAATTTTGTATTTATATTTTAGGAGACCATTTTTAAGGAACACACATATCTTTCCTTTTCAATTTTTACCGAAAAATATAATATGAATGAAAATACTTGAGTAAAAAAAATATATTATAGGATAAAAAGTGGGGCCCTTTAAATTGGGGGCCTAAAGCTTGGGCTTCAGTGGCTTTACCCAAAAGCCGGCCCTATTCATACTCTAAACACACGAAATTGCGGGGCAGCCAAAGATATATAGTGGAATGGCCAGGTAATTTATGATTATCCCCAAGATATTGAGTCACCAATGATATTAATTATAATTCAGGTATTTGAAAAGAAGTAGAAGAATAGGGCGTAGAAAGGAGAGGGAGATGAAAAGTACTAGATGCAAATGCTTCGACGTTGTTTTAGCAAATCTTTATCTTCATTTTTACCCCGAAAAATCTTCTTCTACCGAGTCAAAGTTGTGCAAATACAAAACCAACAACAACAATTACTGAAAAAGGAATTCCAAAGAAGTGGCCGAAATAGCAAATACTACTACTAAAGAAACGTCTTTTTCTCCCTTGATCCAATCATCTTCACATCGATAGACAAGCCACAATACGTTTATGTTGATCATGCACATAAATTTGTACTTTACTTTTTCATATAAAATTATTTACTTAAATTTTTATTTTAATATGTTATTATGTTACAAAATCATGTATTACTTGACTCGATATATACGTGCAACGCACTAGGGAGATACTATTCTATATTTATTATTTATTTAAAAGGAAAGAGTTAGCCCTGAGATTTTGCCAAGTGTTGCATGCATAAAATGCCATGTGGCAACTTTAGGACAACTTAGTTAGTTTAGGTAAAATTAATTTCTCTTTTTAAATTTTGATTTTAAAAACAATTAGATAGCTATGTATTTTAAAAGGAAAAGTAATTTCTACAGTTTTGAAAAAACCGTAGTTTTTAAAAGAAATATTGGGAACCTAATATAACGGTATTCCTTCGCCCTAAAAATATCAATCCTACATATGCGGCACTTCAATCCCACGATCTCTCGCCACAATTTCAACTTCTCACACCTGAATTCTTCTGCGCTGGATTCTCATAATATGATTTCACAGTTTTCTCAAATCAATTTTCCACTTTTACAGTATATAGTGCTATTCTTTCTCCCTCGCGTGCATATCAAATAACAATTCTGGATTACAAGAAGTGATTGGTATGATTTGTATTCCATGAATAATCGTTAAATTTCTGTAATAGATAATTAAATACAATTCTCTTTATTATTCCACTTGAGATTGTATTTCTATAACAAATAATTTCTGTGAAGTTTGTTGACGGTGCAAGTTATATAAAAAAGATCATATTTTCATAATCTATATGCGTGTTTGCGTATTGGTTATCACAGATCTTTGTAACGTGTTGAAATTTTTGATTAGGAGGTAAGTGTTAACTGTGTTGTTTGCTTAATTTTGCTGGCTACTTTATTTTCTAATACAAACTTTCTTAATTATTTTTTGAACGACTTAAAGTTAATGCTTTTGTCCGTATTGTGATAGCATTCGCCCAATTTCCTGAATCACATTATAGGAGTTTTCTTGCTTAGTTTGCCTAAGCGCATACCACAATATATTACTCTCCTCATCCCCTTTATGTTATGTTGTTCACACTTTCAACATTGACAGGTCGATTTTTTGCCAGGGTGTACAATAAGAGTGCTATAAAGTGCAATAGGAGGGAGGCAAATACTAATTTCGAATTAAGAACATATGAAGGGAAATTAAGTTGTGATGCTGATAATAGAGGTAATATATTAAGGCTTTACTACAAATTTTGAATACTTTATGATTGTTTTTCCTTTTTAGTTATGTAATTATCATGTTTAACGATATATTTTTCCCATTCATGCGGGGCTGCCATCCGTAATCCATTGAACTTGGGAATAACCCCATCTATTTTAGCTAATGACCAGAATGATATCACATGACAAATGAAAACTCTAAATTTCCGCGTGCCTCGTATGGTTTGACTGGATATAGTAGAGCTATAGTAATTTCGTAACATGCTTTTCATTCCGATTTTTTTGAGCCATTGATTTATGAGATATCTGAAAAAGGAACATTTATATTTTATTAACTACACATCTTTTAGTAAATTTTTGGGAACTTAATTTCCCTTTGTAAAGTTCCAAATGGATTAGTAACAACTGTTGGTTATGCTACAGCTGAGCTTTGCTTAGCTGACCTGTAGCGCCATGTGTTCATCAGTTTCACAAAAAAAAATTATGAAAAGAAGAGATATACTCGGGCATAAAACTGAAATAACAAGGATATTAGAACAAGAATTGAATATGTCCTCTGAAAGTACTCATGAAGGTCTACCATTGACGAATCAACAACTCATGTGTACGCCGTTATCCTTGATTGCTCTTACCAATGTCATATTTATACGATACCACATATTTATTATGGTGGTATAGAATTCACTGTTTGGAAGGCTATAGAATGAACAGACACCAACAATTTCTGCAGGAAAGACATATAAAGTGGGAAACTTTACCTATACTGCTTTCATTAATGGGTACTCTAAAATGGAAAAATTTAATGCTGCTTATTAATTCTTGCGTGTGATGGATTACAGTAAATTGTACATTAACATAGGCCATTTACATGATTATATTATTCTATTTTGCTGGTATTTGAATATGTAGTCAAACAAATCTCCCTGCAATTTTTCAGTCACATGATAATACTTTTATTTGCTAAATTATCTATCTATATTTGCAGGCAATCACTTTATTTAAATTGTACAGTTGCAGGAATATGTACGAGCAACTATTATTTCACTTTTCATTGGTTGCTTCAAGGTATGACATAGTAGTTCGAATGGGTATAATTAGTAAAGATATAATTGAACTATTTGAATAGAAAAATCAGATTGTCATGGTGTTATTTTCATATTAATTTCATTGCATATAATCAGTGTAAATATTTGTGTAGAATAAAGTTGACACATGAGAAGGTACCACTAAAAGAAAAGAAATGTTAGTAAATTTTATATCTTCGGCATTCTATGAAGTCCATGTACTCTCTTAATCAGTTAAATTAGGACCAAAGAAGTATTTTTCCCTTCAGCCACCATGTATTACTTTTCTTTCATAGGGAGTATTTGGTGCCACATGTATATGCAGAATATACACAAAAGTTTTACTTTGTATTCTGCTATTGCATAAGAGAATTAGAAAAATGAACAGCCAGATCCACAAATTGTAAGTAGATTACATTCTTTACTAAATTTATAAATATTAGTAAGTATTTAGAAGGATAGCTATTTGATACGTAAATATTCTTTAAAGGATTTAAAAATAGAGAAAGGCTTCTTGCAATCAATTTTCGCGAGTGTTTTTTTTTTCCCTGAAGGGACTACAACCAATAGAAGAACTATTATTTTCTTTCAACTTAGTGCATTTATCCCAGGCTATCCTATCCAGCATGTTATTGTGCGGTATTCCACATACACTTTGACCCGTCATGGTATACACTTCCTTCCCATCAAGTTTTTTAGGGATGATACGATTGTTTTATTTATTCTCGCCCTCATGTGGGGTTTCATTGTCGTGCAGGGGGAATATTTCCCTAGGAATGCTGATGTTAGAATGTTCACTTAGTTCCAAAATTTCATGGAGATATGTATGAATCGCATTAAGAAAAGAAGTGACGAAATATTCATGGATATGTATGCACTCTTCGATGTGTGACTGCTTCTCCAACGTAAAGTTTCAAATCTATATCTGTTTTTTTTTGTTATGAGTCATATGTCTAGAACACTGCTCATTGTTCCAGTCTATGCTCTTTTGCATTTATATTCATTCCTTTTTGGGCTCGGTTCGTTAGCATATTTATCAATAAAAACTATGACTATTCCCCAGGTCCTTTTTTATTTATGAAGTAATCTGTTGAATGTTGCTTAACTTTGGTGCATTGATATTTTTAGATTGTTTTAGATATTTGTCTGATAGAAAACTTATTATCATTATGCTTAATTGAGAAACCTGTCATTATTTTCTACAGATGTGTTAAACAATACATTTTCTTTCTTTTTTCTTGTGATCTGCAGAAGCTGTACAAAAATGTTTATATATAGTAGCCATTAGACATAATTCTCCTAACTTTTTTAAGGCAAAGTTGCATCGTTCTTTCTCCTTCTCTTATCTTCTTAGAAACATATATAAGAATATTTTGGTTTGCAGAGTCACTTTACTACAAGCCAGCATGGCATTTTATTGTAGCTACTTCAAAAATACTTATGCATAGTCCAATCCTTGATTGTATAGGTACTAAAAATATTATTTTATTTTAAAATTGTGTTACTTTTAGGTGTTTTTTGGAATCTCTTTTTTGTTTTGACTTGCATCATTACTATTACTAAGTAAAATAGTACAAAAGAGGGTTTCCCTTTTTTTTAATTTTTGATCTGTAGAAGCAATTCAAAAATATCATAGCAGTCATTAGACATATTTCTCCTAACTAATTTTTTGAAGCAAAATTGTTGTTTTAACTCCTTTTTTATAATGGCTTTGCTTAGCTTAGTTTTTCATCTTGCAAATTAAGGACTGATAATAGAAATGGAACCTGTACATGGATTAAGATTGTACTGCTATATAGAAATTAAGATTGCACTGCTACTATTAAAAAACGCCTAGCCGTAAGAAAGGTTCGAAGTTCAAAGTTTTGAAGCTACATGGAAATATCATTATTCTTTAAACATTAAATACTTATAGGAGTTGTTTGACTTAAAATCTTCAATTATTTTATGCCTCTTAATTTATCATTATTCTAACAGAAGTAATAAATAATTGATAGTGAATGATAGTTGAAATATACTATTCCATCAATAGGATTTAAAAATATAACTTCCAGCTAAAAGTTTATGTTTATTTTTTTCTTTTGATTTTCCTTTTTCTCCTGTAAAAGGAATTGCTTATTAAGATATGAATTTGATCATGCAGGCTGTAGCTATACATTCCTGATTTATGATATTGCAGTTGCAGCAGTAAGTGCTGACTTCTATTAAAGCAATTCACTTGCTTCATGTTTTTAGTATTCCAAATAGACGAGGGTGATGTAAATCTTATATTCTAGACTGGATTGCAAATGTAGTCTTACAGTATTTGTCCTTTAATCATGTTTTTTGCTTTCTACAAATTGCAGAGTATTTCTTGCAAACAAGTACTATTCTTTCAGCGTTAGTCGATATCCTTGATGAAGATAGGATCTGAAAGACAATTGTAAATGTTGAATAATTTACTAGAGATTTGTCTTCTCCGATAAATCATATCTATTCTTTGATATCGGATAGGCTCCATATGCCACTAGCAGCTTTTGTGGTTATAAGATTCAGAGTAGACTATATCTTTCAATATAGCAGACTATAATGAAGTAGTTCTTATCCAATTTAACCCCCTGATAATTGAAGTTCTTGAAAACTCTATTGATGGTAATTCAAGTAAGGTGGTCGATTTATTTGATCAACTAATGTACATATTTTAACTCCTTATGGATTAGCGGAGTATTTTTTTTGGTCTCTCTTTAATTTTCTTTTTGTTGTCAGGTAGCCTATTAAAAGTTAGTGGCAAGCCGCTGGATAAATTAGCAGAGTTAAATGAGTTAGTTGATTTTACGCCTTACGAAAAAATTAAACTTTTTGATATTATTATTATTACTCATAATGAGGAATAAATCTTTTACCGATCAAAAAGAAGACCAAATATTTCATGCTCAGGCCCTTTTTTAACGAGCCACTTGGGACCGGTGGCCCTTAGCTATAATAATATAGAGACAACCCAATGAAATTCATCTATTTATTTTTTGTTTTAATTGTTTTGATTGTGATCGCTAAAATTAATCTGAAATATACATATGTTTTTATTATCTCTCTCCACTCTTTTTTTCTTTGAATTGATTCGCGCATCGCGCGGGTACGTATACTAGTTATCTGAAAAATAAGAAACAGAACCTGTTACACAACACGTTAAATTGCACCGGTAGCATAACTGTTTTTACATTGTGCGTGTATATAATTTATAAGCCCATGCTAAATTAGTTTTAGTTAATTCTTGAGATCACTAGTAAAAGTAACTCTAAAAACAAGCGTACGACAAACACGGATACGTTAATTGCTAAAGGCAATATATTGCTTAAGAGAAGATCTACTTTCTATCAATTCAAAAAAATTGATCGAAAAAGGGATTCAAACTTGCCATGGACGTCAATGTTGGCGCCAACTGCTCAAGAAATAGTGTTTCCAGGATCGATCGATCCATGCACACACAGAGAGGAGTACTATGTGTTCCTATTTCCAATACTAACATTGTATTTATAGATTTTTGGTTTGTGTTTACCTGGCCATTGCTTTTTTTCTTTTATGTTACCTCGGGGGACAATTTAATATGTCCGTAAAAACTAGTTATCATGTAATTAAGTGTTTTAATGAGGTAAACATATATATTAATTAAAATTATATTAATCATAGTCGGGGAAATAAGTTTATTTATAAATACATATCATACATTTATTGATTTGATGTGAACACTCGGAAAGTTCAAATTTTAGTATTAAGGTTCGAATTTAATGATTGCCTCATTATTATTACACTGTTAGATCTCCATATTTTCAGGTTAATTATGTTAAAGGCTAATTAACGAAAGGAAGAAGCAACATTAAACAAGTCAAAAACTTCAAAGGCGGGGAACAAGGACGATTGGGAAAGCGAAAATTTTTATGGGCAATGAAACAGAAAAAGATAATTTTTGCCGCCAGATCCAACACGAAATTCCACAAAAGTTTTAGTAGTTCAGTTTTGATGTTTAAAGTTTTCACTTTTCAGAGATATTTTAGAGTTTTAGGTTTAGATCCAAAAAACCCTCCCACTGTCCTCGTTTATTACTTGCCATGCATGCATGTGGTACTTTAAATCTTAAGCAAGAGGTAGCACTGAGGCCTGAATTTCTTTTGTGAAGGTTGGTATTAATTCAAGCAAGTATTTACACCCAATTAATTCAGCATATATAGGCTCACTTATTTCAATCAATTTAATAATCTTTATATTTGTGGTTGAGTTGGAAACATAGAGCACTGTTTAATGATGATTGATCTGTTCTTGGATTCAACGTTCTCGCTTTTCGAAAATCTTCCTTTTAATTCTCACCACCGACACGTTCGAATATGAAAGACAAGCAGCATTTTTAAGATAAATATTAGTAGTACTGGAGTGGAAAATATCCAATCAAGAGTTTGATTGTGGTTTTGAAATATACTTTTATTTTTTCAATAATCGGTTTGAGTGTAGAACTAAGAAGAAATATGTCTCGAGAAAGATAAATGATAATTCTAACAAATACTCTTTTAAGAATATCAGCATCTATTTCAACAAGAGTTAGAAACCTAAAAATAAACGGGATAGAGCATATCTTTTCCCTAAGAGTTTTAGATATATACGTTGACGTGTAAATATTATTTATATTATCAGGTCAGTCATCTTTGTTATGTCATGGGTAATTATCTTATTTTTAAGGACAAATTTTACTTTTTAAGGAGGGTATCTATTGAGGCAAAATCTTTCTTTGAATTAGTCATTCTATTTATTCAAGGAATAAGTGATACGAAGATTTTTAATTACTGATCAAGCCATAGGAAATTCTTGATTTGATTTAGGTTAGGCTTTTTTTATTGAATCATCGTGGTTTTAGTATAAATTTAAAGTTTTAATCGATTCATAGGGTCTTAACAAGTGAATTCCTATCAATAATAAAGATATTAAAACTAATAATAAAAATCATATTCCACAAAATAAAATTTTAGAAAGAAATAGGGAAAAAGAGAAGACATGATAGTGTAAATAGATGAGTCTTAGCCAGATATTTTAGTCAATAAGATCTAAATTTCCAGCTGGGAGGAGCTGAAACTTGTAAATATAGTAACAAGTGAAGCCAAAGGTTAAGCAAGAGTTGAATTTATATTCTAAAGGTTCAACTCATATCCACAAAAGTTTAATGAATATCCTAAATTTTCATTTATAAACTAAAATTACAATACATAATCCAAAAATTTCAATTTATATCCTAAAGGTTCAACTCATATCCACAAAAGTTCAATTCATATCCTAAAATTTCAATTTATAAACTAAAATTCCAATACATAATCTAAAAATTTCAATTCATATCCTAAAGNCTCATATCCACAAAAGTTCAATTCATATCCTAAAATTTTAATTTATAAACTAAAATTCCAATACATAAACTAAAATTCCAATTCATATCCTAAAGGTTCAATTCATATCCTAAAGATTTAATTCATATCCATAAAAGTTCAATTCATATCCTAAAATTTTAATTTATAAATTAAAATTCCAATACATAAACTAAAAGTCCAATTCATATCCTAAAGGTTCAATTGATATCCTAAAGGTGCAACTCATATCCACAAAAGTTCAATTCATATACTAAAATTTCAATTCATAAACTAAAATTTAAATACATAAACTAAAAGTCCAATTCATATCCTAAAAGCTCAATTCATATCCTAAAAGTTCAATTCATACACAAAAATTTCAATTCATATTCTAAAGGTTCAACTCATATCCACAAAATTTCAATTCATATCCTAAACTAATTAAACTAATTAGTTAATAAAATTAATTAACAAAGCTAACTAAAACAAGACCTAAACCCTAATCCTCAATAAAAACAATGTTCAAAGAATTTAATCACTAATTCATATCCTTAAACTACAATATTGAAATAATTGAAATAAAACTAGAAATAACAAAGATTCAAGGTTATAATTCAAACCTAGGTTTTTTTAGGTGGAGAAGGAGAGAAAGGGGCAGCGGTGGCTCCGGCAGTCACAGTGGTGGCGCGGGGTGGGGGGATTGATTTGTGTGAGGGAAATAGAGAAGGGGAGGGGAATGTGCTGAGAGAGAATTTGGAGAAATTTTGGGAAGAAAATAAGAGAATGGGAGGGGGAAACCCGTTTTTGAGTCTGGATTTACGAAAAAGCGACCAACGTTGGTCACTATTTTGGTAGCTAATTAAGTTTTGACTGTTTGACCAAAATAGCGACCAAAGTTGGTCGCTATTTCTAAAAAATATTAAATAACTTTTTTTCTATTTTGATTTTTAAATATTATAAGCTATAAAAACAAATCTTATTAGCTATAAATATTTATTTTATTTAACTACAAATATTATAAATAATTAAATACTATAAGCATAATCTTTAAAAAAATTATATTAACTAGGTAATTACTTTTAATAGATTATAAGTCGATGAATCAATTATAATAAATTAATTGATATAAGTCGAGACATTTTGTCTTTAGTATTCAACGATACATCTGAGTAGGTTATAAGTCGATGAATCAATTTACAAGTGTATCAATACAATTCAAAATTATGTACATATATAGTATAGTATAGTATAATATAGTATAGTATAGTATAGTATAGTATAGTATAGTATAGTATAATATAGTATAGTATAGTATAGTATAGTATAGTATAGTATAGTATAATATAGTATAGTATAGTATAGTATAGTATAGTATAGTATAGTATAGTATAGTATAGTATAGTATAGTATAGTATAGTATAGTATAGTATAGTATAGTATAGTATAGTATAGTATAGTATAGTATAGTATAGTATAGTATAGTATAGTATAGTATAGTATAGTATAGTATAGTATAGTATAGTATAGTATAGTATAGTATAGTATAGTATAGTATAGTATAGTATAGTATAGTATAGTATAGTATAGTATAGTATAGTATAGTATAGTATAGTATAGTATAGTATAGTATAGTATAGTATAGTATAGTATAGTATAGTATAGTATAGTATAGTATAGTATAGTATAGTATAGTATAGTATAGTATAGTATAGTATAGTATAGTATAGTATAGTATAGTATAGTATAGTATAGTATAGTATAGTATAGTATAGTATAGTATAGTATAGTATAGTATAGTATAGTATAGTATAGTATAGTATAGTATAGTATAGTATAGTATAGTATAGTATAGTATAGTATAGTATAGTATGTATATAAAAGCTATATTCGATATAATATTAGCTAATGCATTAATACTTAGTGTAATGTCAATCTATCGACAAAACAAAGTCTGTCGGTACATATATATATACTAGTTGCAGGAGGCCCGTGCTAAGATCGGGCCCAATTTTTCTTAGAATTAATAATTTTATTTTAATTAAATAAGTTTAATTCGTATTATATTGTCACGACCCGGATTTCCCACCCC